GATATCAAAACCACAGACAGTACTGAACCCTATATACACATTTAGGGCTTCCCTGATAGCTCAGTTGGTAAAGAATCCACCCGCAATGCAAGAGACCCTGGTTTGATTACTGAGTCGGGAAGATCCCCTGGAGAAGGGATAGGCTACCCACTCCAATGTTCTTTGACTTCCCTTGTGGCTCAGCTGGTAAAGAATCTGCCCACAATGCAGGAGACCTGAGTTCAAGCCCTGGGTTGGGAAGATCCCCTGGAGAAGGGAAAGGCTACCCACTTCAGTATCCTGGCCTAGAGAATTCCATGCAATGAGTCAGACATGACTGAGTGCGACTTTCACACACACACTATATACACATTATATTTTCCTATTCATACGCACTTATGATAAGGCTGATTTATATATCAGACACAGAGATCAACAACAGTAAAATAGAACAATTAGAGGAATATACTATAATAAAAGATGTGAATGTGGTGCCCTCTTCTCAAAATATCTTATTGTACAAATGTAATGTCTTTGCCATCTTACCTGAGCACTTATCACAGACTGTGACCACAACTTCTGTAGTCTGAGGTGCAAGAGTCAAAAGAGCACAAGTTCCTTTTTCCTTTTGCACAATTTCACAGATAGGAGACTGATTCTCACCACAGATCTTAGCAAGCTAGCATACAGTTTTGTTTTGTTTTCTTTCCTCACTAAGACAGAGAGTTTTTTCACGTAAAGGAAGCAGTTTACAGCTTCTCTTGGCATATCCACTCCCAATTGTCAGCATCACTAGGTTTACACTTTAGGGCCTTTATTAAGTAAAAGAAGGGTTACCTGAACACAACCCTTGCAACAGTGCTGATAATCCAGATGGCTACTAACTGACAGGCTGGATACAGGGGACAAAGAGATGATTCATGGCCAGAGCAAGACTGCGTGAGATTTCATCATGCTCTTCAGAAAGGTTTGCAATTTAAAACTTATGAATTGTTTATTTTGGGAATTTCCCATTTAATATTTTCACACCACAGTTTACCACAAGTAACCGAAACCAAGAAAAGAGAAACCACAGGTAAGGGGTAGGGAGTATACAAATTACTGAAAGTCCTTTGCTTTTGCTATTTTACTTATTATCTTCATATTTAAATAATGTCAAGAAAATCCTAGCGAGCACAGTTCATATAAAAAGTATCACCATCTTTTGTAACTATTCTTTTCCCAGTGTCCAAAGTTTATGGTTTTGTCAGGCCAGTTCACTGAAATAAAGATAAATTGAGTTCAGAAAGAATGTTAAGGAAAAAAGAGATAAAAGAAGGTTTGGTTCCCAGGTTATGTTCCCACTTAAATCACCAAATAGAACACACCATTAGCAGAGAATTAAAATAGTTTCCTTATCTGTAACATAAGAATACCAAAGTAGACACTACAAAAGTTTTCCTTCTGCTCCAAAAATTCTATTCCTAAACTAGTGCCTCAGACTTCTTTCTTTCAAAGGCCTTTTTGAAAAGGGGTGCTAAAAGATTTAACATTTCAATTCATGAGCCTATTAAATAGCTTACTTCTCTGAATTACAATTAACAGAAAAGCCTAGGAAAAAAAATATTTTTAAATCAGACAAAACTAGGCCCCCTAAGCTAATTATTGGGGACACTGCAATACAACTCTTTGTTTCATATTCACTCTTCTCACACCTGTTCTGTTTCTTCTGCCTCCAAGCCTTGGGCCCAAGAGTGGAATCACGCAGTCCTAAATGCCTCCAGAAAGACTTAGGTTAGAAAACTCAGACACACAGCTTACTTGGGAAAACTGGAGCTAACAGCTTGCTGTCAAAGTTTCTTTCCTATCTTTATATCTCCATCAAATAAAACAGATATCTGATTTACACAACAGATACCTAATTTAACTCCACTGCATAACTTATTATACCAGTGATTCTTTTTTAGATATTCAAAATTTCAGGTCCCACCTAGACTTACTGAATCAAGGACTTTGGGAGTGAGGCTCAGCACTGTGTTTAAAAAGGAATCCAGGTGACCACACACTCAAGCTTGAGAACCACTGTATTAAAGATGTCAGGAAATCCTCTTCCTGTTCATTACTGCTGGTGGCAAACACAAACAGAAAGGCTGAATTTTCTCAGCTGCCACTACTTACAAGTGCTTGGGCCCACAGGATACCCTCAGCCACTTAACTTCTGTCTCCAATTCACAAGCAAGATGAACTTCAGAGTCAAATAATGTGAGTACAACTTATGTCTCTTAGAGTTAACAGCTATGTGACCTTACCCAAGTTAAACTCTTGGAGCCTCAGTTTCCTCATCTGTAGAGTAGAAACAACACCTTGTACCTCCATGAATAGGAGAGAGCTTACAGAAGGTGCCCAGGAGAGTGCCAGGCACCGTCAATAAGTTTAAGAACTTTTTCCTTTCTTCTCTACCACCTGGACCAAGTCCTGGCTACTTCACACAGACAATACCCCAAAGAAGACAGCACTTTGGCACCCCTCTGTGAAATGTCACCGATGCGTTCCACATTGGGTGAAGAGTTCTCGGGTGAGGTTTTCCTTCTGGAAAATGCCATAAGACAGACATGAAGTGTTAAAGTCCTACAGAATCATATACAGAACAGTGATTCTAAAAAGGCAGCCTATAAGCCACTGGAAAAGGCAAATCTTACAAAAGTGAATACCTATGTAACTTAAAAAAATAACTCAAATTATGCAGAACATAGGCAACTTTCTCTTCAAAGTGAAGTATCAGTCCATCAGGTGTGTCCAACTCTGCGACCCCATGGACTGTAGCCCACCAAGCTTTTCTGTCCATGGAATTCTCCAGGCCAGGACACTGGAGTGGGTTGCCATTCTCTTCTCCAGGGGATCTTCCTGACCCAGGGATCGAACCCAGGTCTCCCCCACTACAGGTGGATTCTTTACCATCCGAGCCACCAAGGAAGCCCAACTTTCTCTTAACTGGCCAAAATTAATTAATGCTAACTAGACATTAGTACTACACTTCATAGGGCAAGAGATATTTAACATTAAAATACGTAAAGGAAGTGGAATACATGACTTATATTAAAGGTCATGGTCCAGGCATTCCAATTCCAATTCCATAGATTTTTCTGGGGCAGCCTCACTGCCAAATTCTCTGTTCCAATGTTGCCATGTCACATATTCTGGTTTCTGATTTTAAAAAAAATATATATATATGGNCCCCCCCCCCAAAAAAAAAAAATGCTGCCATGAATGAGATCTAAAAATTGGAGAGTATTACTCTTTTTTATAAGTTGATAAGCTGAAAGGGATTTTACCAGAAACAATTCCTGCGTTCAGCTCCTCACTCCCTCTAATATGAAATCCAATATTAAACTGTTTAATTTGACCTCCGTGACTATTAGCCGGTTCACGGGGCTGGAAACAGTTGAGTGCACGAGATAACGTCACTGTACTCGAATATTTCGCGGGGTAACCACGCTTGGAGCATCAGATCAATGGGCACTCGCGGCTTTCGCTCCAGCCTGCTGACAACTAAGACGGGACAACCCTCGGTTTCCTGTTAAGAGCAGCCAACATGCCAAACTGTAGGACTTAAGTGAAAATTAGCGTTCGTATCTTCTTAAAAGTGGATGCCCAACCCCCACATCCCCACCCCCACGGAACTCGTAAAAGGAAAAGTTGAGTGACTCCAGACTGGAAACTGTAAAGCCACAAACTTTTAAGAGCCTTGCCCGCCGGGAGCTTGCATTTCAGCAGCGGCTCCGTAACGCACCAAGCTAACAACTTCGAGACACAACCCAGAGCGGAGTGGGGTGACGGTTACTCACTTCTACCATCCAACACGACACTGTCCCCTCCAGCCCCCGAAACTCCAAAGCCAAAGAAGCCTCCCCTCGGGCCACCTTTACAGCCTCCTCCCAGCACCGCTGACACGGAGCCCCCGGCGCAGAGCGAGGGTCCCAGGCGAGGCCGGAACCGGACAGCCGCCCGTGTCTCCGCGCCCCAGGACTCCCCAGAAGTCGCCGCCCCGCTTCCCGCCGACCCCACCGGCCCGGCTCCTCAGTGTAAACCCGCCGCTCCCTGCACCTCTCCCCCAGATAAACCCGGAACCGGGCGCCGGCCCCCGCCCTGAGGCGGGCTCAGGCCCAGGCCGGGCCGCGGAGTCTCCGGCTCCCGGCCCGGCCGCCCCGAGACGCTCGGCGGGGAAGCGCCGGGAGGCCTGGCCGCCCCTCCACCCCCAACCCTAGCCGGGGCGCGCCTCCTCCGGGCCGGGGCGGGACGCGACTCACCTTCGTACTGCAGGTCCACCAGGACCAACAGGAAGGGGAACACCGAGCCCAGCCGGCTGCTCACAGAGCCGGGGGCCACCATGTCCGAGAGCGCGGGCGCAGAGGAGGAGCAAAGCTGCGGGGCCCACTAGCCCCCCGCCGCGGCGCTCAGGCTGCAGCTGCGGCCGCCCGCCCGCCCGCCGTCCGCTCTTGCTCAGGCCTAAGGCGGCTGGCGCCCAGAGGAAGGAGGCGGCGGCGGCGGCGGCGGCGGGCGGGGCCATAGCTACGCCACGCCCCCAGCGCCGCCGCGGCCCAATCGCCTCCTCCCTGGCTGCACTCCTACTGGGCTCGCCGGGATCGTGGTTCGCGCTGATAGGCCGCGGGGGCCGCCGCCCCGCCCCGTCTCTGATAGGATAACGTGGAAGCACGAGACGAGGCTGCGTCCGCTGGTGNCGCCCCGCCCCGTCTCTGATAGGATAACGTGGAAGCACGAGACGAGGCTGCGTCCGCTGGTGGCGGAGCTGTCAGGAGCTCCAAACCGCCGCGGCCGGCCGGAGGGGAGGCGGCCCGGGGAGGCTTGTCTGGCGGCCGCCGAGTCCGCATGCGCAGGCCGCCCAACTCTTTTTGGGTCGGCCCCCCGCGTGCGCGCCAGCTCGGCTAGAAGGAGAAGGTTGTCAGCAGTCCGAGGTTTTCCGGTGTGTTGTTTGGAGAGAGAGAGAGTGGGGAAGCCGCCGCGTCCGGGATGAGAAGCCAGACCTGGAACCAGGAAGTCTGCGGAGCTGGATCGCGGAACAGGACGAGTCGCAGAGCCTGCTGTCCTCCTTCTGAGCGTCTCGGAACCCATACGGACCGAACCCTGAGGAGGGCTCGAGAAGCGATCAGGAGAACCTGGAGCGCAGTAAAGTAGGGTTAACCGATGGAGCCGGGAGCTTTTCAGGCACAATGAAATACTTTAGGGTCCTAAGGCAGGTCAAGTGAGAATGGCATGGAAGCTTGGGACCCAACCCCCGACCGTGCAGGGGACCAGCGTGTCCAGAAAAGAGCAGGTCTGGAAGATTTTGTGCAAAAGAAACCTAGGAAGCACAGCAGCTAAGAGAGCAAAGGGCTGTTGAGAGTACAGCCGACGTCAACTATAAGGGGGGAAAAAAGAAAGAGCTGTTAGGACTGGATCTTGTACCTTGTGCTCATCAGATGAAACTTAAGAGAGACATGAACAAGATAAAAGTTCAAGTTACGCAGTCTAGGCGTTAAACTTGGTCACATCCACTTCCTCTGGCATCCCCAACACAAAGCACACTATACACCAGTGATGCTTCCCATTGGGTGAGACAGTAATGCCTTTCTGTGTTAAGCGTTGTCGAGTGTAAAGTTATTACTTTACCAGATTACATTTGCTTCCTCGGTGGTACTGTACACTTTAGAACTCATGACTGATAAATAGCATAGTGAATTCGTGATTTCCTAAAAAATACACTCAGAAGGCTAAAAAGCTTTCTAAGCTTTTATTCCGGAGGGCACTAATGCAAAGGAAATGGTTTGCAGAAAGGAAAAACAAGCCAAAAACACAGTCCCTTAGTAGTTGTGGTGGAAAGCAATACAATATAATGTTAACAGGAGAGGATTCAAATCCACGAAATTTAGCTGCACACCACACCTCTTATCTAAAGCTATCTTCATCTGTAAAGTGGGTATGACACCGATAGCCTCAATGGTTTGTTCTGAGGTTTCATGAAGGGGGTACAAATTTTTCTGAATTATAAAGTAGTATGTGGGCTTCCCAGGTGGGGCTAGTGGTAGAGAACCAGCCTGCCAATGCAGGAGATGTAAGAGACGCTGGTTTGATCCCTAGGTGAGGAAGATCACCTGCAGGCAGGCATAGCAACCCACTCCAGTATTCTTGCCTGGAGAATCCCTTGGACAGAAGAGCCTGGCAGGCTAAGGTCCATAGGGTCACAAAGAGTCAGACACAACGGAAGGGACTTAGCACACATACATGCAAACAAGTGTTATTAATACTTCTAACAAGAGTGAGATCATGAGACTCCTCTTTGGAATTTTTTTTAAATTTTTGTTTCGTCCTTTTCCTTATAGGGCTTCCCTGGCGGCTCAGATAGTAAAGAATCTGCCACAATGCAGGATACCCGGGTTCAATCTCTGGGTTGGGAAGATCTAGAGAAGAGAATGGCTACCCACTCCAGTATTCTTGCCTGGAGAATTCCATGGGAAAGAGGAGCCTGGCAGGCTACAGTCCATGGGGTTGCAGAGAATCGGGCATGACTGGGCAACTAACACCTTCACTTCACTTTTTCTTATCGGCCATGACAAGGCAGTGTTAGTGAAAAAGAGCAGATGATTTTAGTGTCCACAAGTAGTTAGTGGATAAAGTACTGGAAAGTTATCTGGATAAAGAACTGTGGCCAAGGCCACTAACAAAATGTTGAACATAATGAGGAAAGAGTTTTGTAAGCAGATAATTTGTTGTTGTTGTTTAGTCGCTCAGTCGTGTCTGAATCTTTGCCTTCCCATTAACTGTAGCTCACCAGGCTCCTCTGTCCATGGAATTTTCCAAGCAAGAATACTGGAGCAGGTTGCCATTTCCTTCTCCAGGGGATCTTCCCAACTCAGAGATTGAACCGAAGTTTCCTACGTGGCAGGCAAATTCTTTACCACTGAGCCACCACGGGGAGCCCGAACAAATAATACTACACCATGAATTATCACCAGAATGCTGCCTGTCTATGATTTTGATCTTAAGGAAGAGCAGTGCTAAAGAAATTCTAAGAGTAGAAATTAAAAATGATTAAGGAGAGGATAGACCTTGTGCTATGGATAATAAAAACAAGAGCCTTCAATGTTCAGTGATTTTAAAAATTCACTGATCAACTTGCATATCAGTGAAGCCTGAAGTCTTAAAACTAAGATTTACCAAAAAAAAAAAAACCAAAAAACTAAGATTTACAAAGTATCCCGTGGAAGAGATAACTTTACAACAAAGAAAGGAAACATTATTTTAGACTGCAGTTAGTGTCCAGGGCTAAAATTATCTTTATGTATAAAATGTTTAGGAATGTTTTCTCCAGTGCTCATCTGGGCATGGTTTTCACCTGATCACCTCTGCCAATAAAACCAAAGTAATCCAGTGATTGTAGAGAAAATTATAAATACTGTTTGCATTTATCAACATGTATGCAGTCCTTTTTAAAATTAAACACCCTACTGTAATTAATAGCACCTATTCACTATGATAGTAAAAGATTTAAAATAATAGTAGAATATTTAAATTGTGGTATATGCAAAACCACCAATATTATATAATTGTAATATATAAAAATATATTGATTTGTGTTTACTGACCAGTAAAATAACATTGGCAAAGAGGAATGGACAGATCTAGAACACAGTTTCTGGAGGTAAAGAAGATAAGATTTGCTGATGGATTAGCTATGGGGAGAAATAAATGGTTCAAAAGCAAGTATGATACTTACAACATCTTTTTGCACCAAATTAAAAACAAAATAGGCAGCATTGTAATTCGCATAATGAATGCTGTAGTATACATCCTTCTACATTTATCTTTATGAACTTGAGCTTTCATTTCTATCAAAGGGATTTCTAAACATGGGCTTACTTTGTCAAAGACTGCACATTTAATATTTTCCTTAAAAGTCAGGGTAATTTGTATTCCTAACAACTATTTATGTCCCCACATACCATCACCAAATATAACCTATTTCCATAGTTTACCAACCTGATGGTAAAACATTACCGGTCTAAGTTTACTACTTCTTTGCAGCAATTTAAAGACTCTGATCCAACTTCAGTGTTCTCATGTAGAAATTTGGCTTTAAAGCCAGTCCTCAGTCTGTTTGACCACCTTCTTTTATGTTGTTACTAGGCTTCTGGCCACATCAACCTGTCTCCTTCATCACATCATCATTTCTCTCTTTATTGACCTTCCTCCTTCGTCCTATAAGGATCTTTGTAATTAATTATTTAGAATCCTTCCGGATAATCCAAGATATTCTCTGCCTACAACAGCCTCTATTTATGCGTGCAATCCCTTTTGCCATAAAATACAACGTTACCGGGGACTCAAAACGTAGATATCTTTGGGGGGGAACACTATTCAACTTAACGTGATACCTCCTGAAGTGGGGGGGGCAGGGTGGGGGAGGGAGTAAGATCTGAACTCCCCTCTTCCTTGAATGTGGACTGACTAACTTTTAAAGACTAGGGTGGAGAAACGCAAACAGTACCTTGGCCAGGTGGTCAAAGTAAATATTACTAATGTGAGGCTATAGATATTCTGTATACTCCTGATTCAAGGTCATGGGCAGAGTACTTCACCTCTGTGATATTCCTTCCATTCTATAATCTAGTGTAAATATGAAAAAAAAAAATCACCTAAAAGAAAATCAAGGAACAGTCTTTAAAATACCTGATCAGTACTCCTCAAAACTTAACAGACAGGAGGACACTAAGGAGACATGATGACTAAAAGGTGCTATCTTAAACCAGATCCAGAAATAGAAAATGGCTATTACTGGGAAAACTGCTGAAATCCACATAAAGTTTCAAGTGTAGTTAATAGTAATGGACCATTATTAACTCCCTTAATTTTGACAAATGTACCATGATTATATGTAAGATGTTAGCAATAGGGGAAATAAATGTGTTTGGGACCTCTCTGTAGTACCCTTGCAGCTGTATTCTAAAATTATTTCAGAAATAAAGTATATTTAATTGTGAAGGACTACAGTATCAACACGGAGAAGGCAATGGCACCCCACTCCAGTACTCTTGCCTGGCAAATCCCATGGATGGAGGAGCCTTGTAGGCTGAAGTCCAGACGGTCCCTAAGAGTCGGACATGACTGAGCGACTTCACTTTCTTTTCACTTTCNTCTCTCTTTTCCCTTCACTTGGCAAACTGTTAATTACTTGATTTAAATCTGTTACATATACACTCTAAGAATATTATAGTCCAGATAATCAAAATGTCTATAAGAAAAAGTTCATTAACTGTACTTTGTTTTTAAAATATGAACAAGTACATGTAAATGATAGCCTATGTTACAATAAGATAAAAATTTTGAAGCATGACAAGGATTCTTTAATATTTGGTTCTGGAATACAAGGATTAAAATTGTATTTTTAAAGGTTCACATACTATTTCTGATAAATAGGTGAATCTTTCAACAATTGGGTTGAGTTAATATTGACTTAAAGACAGCTCTTTGTCCACCAGCATGTTCATTGCAGTGTTATTTACAATAGCCAAGATGTGAAAACAATCTAAGTGTCCATCAGCAGGTGAATGGATGAATATAGTGTGTTTAGATACATGTATATGCAATGAACTAGTGTTCATCCATAAAAAGAAGGAAGGCCTGCCATCTGAGGCAACATGAATGGAGCTTGAGGGCATTATGCTAAGTGAAATAAGTCAAACAGAAAAAGACAAATACTGAATGATCTCACTTATATGTGGAAACAAAAAAAAAAAAAATTGAATTCATAGATAAAAGAACAGACTGGTGGTTGCCAGAGGCGTGGGTGGGGGAGGATTGTGAAATAGTGAAGGTGGTCAAAAGGTACAAATTTCCAGTTACAAGATAAAAAATTCCTGTGAATGTAATGTATAGCAGGGTGACTATGTTTAACAATACTGTATGGTATATTTGAAAGTTGCTAAGAGAGTAGATCCTAAAAGTGCTCATCATAAGGAAAAAATTGTAAATGTGTGGTGATTAAAGCTAACTAAACTTACTGTGGTAATGATTTTACAACATGTGTATTTCAAAACATTATGTTAAACACCTAAATTAATACAATGCTTTATGTCAACTGTATCTCAACAAAAAAGCAGTTCTATGTCTTCTCCAGTTTTAATACATTATATTTTATATATAATAAACACTTAAAAACTTAAACCTTTCAAGTTTCTAAGTTAACTAAATGAAGTTATAATAAACAATGTCTTGAAAAAGACATAAAACTTCTATAATATAAATCATAAGGGCTTACTGCTTATTTTCCAAATCCTTACATCTAAATCAAAATATATACATAATTGCATTAAATGTAAATGTTATAAATATAGTAATTAAAAGAGTGTAAAAATAATTAAAAAATAAATAACATGAATCAACTATAAGCTGTCTACAGGAAAGGTAAAATCTCACACTGATCAACTAATCGCAACAAGGGTGCCAAGATAATTCAATGGAGAAAATGTAGTCACTGCAACAAAGGATGATGCTGGGACAACTGGATATCTATTCAATATATTCAAAAGAGTGAAATTGGACCCTTTCCTTAGACCATATACAAAAAATAACTCAAATAGGGTCAGAGACCTGAATGTAAAGTCTAAAACTATAAAACCCTTGCAAGAAAACAGGAATAAATCTTCATAATCCTAAATTAAATAAAACCTTAGGTACAATACCAAAAGCACAAGCACAGAAGAGAAATTGGATAAAATGAATTTCACAAAAATTTAGAAATTTTGTACTTCAAAAGACACCACTGGACTTCCCTGGTGTTCTAGTGCTTAAGAATCAACATGCCAATGCAGAAGGCATGGGTTCAATCCCCAGTCCAGGAAGATTCCACATGCCCCGGGACAACTAAGCCCATGCGCCACAACCACTGGGCTTGAGCCCTAGAGACTGCGCTCCGCAATGAGAGACGCTATTCAAGAGATTAGATCTGATAGACTGCCTGAAGAACTACGGAGAGAGGTTCATGACACTATACAGGAGGCAGTGATCAAGACCATGCCCAAGAAAAAGAAATGCAAAAA